GATTAATCAATCCCAACAAAGTTAACTTACTCCGCACTCTTACATATCGGTGTCTTCACATCTGTTCGTCATCCAATCTGTTACAGTCTGCTTTGGACGACCTCAAGAAACTTTTGTCACGCAATGGGTATCCCCGTGGTATTATTCCCTACAAACTGAACGATGTTGTAAACAAACGCAACAAACCTAAAGACCCCATCACTACTGTCCCCCAAAAAGAAATTTTCATAGTTTTACCTTATCTAGGAATTCAAAATAAAATTGTCACACAACAGCTCAAATCATGTATCCACGGGTTCTATGGTTATTTTAGTCTTAAAATTATTTTCCGAAACACTAGTCCAATTAAGTCTTTTTTTCCCCTATAAGGACAGACTCAGCCGTTCCCTAGGCTTCTTGTCGAAAGTTGTGTACAAGGCTGGTTGTTGGGATTGTAATGCCTTTTACATTGGAAAAACAAAGCGTCGGTTGCATGACAGGAAAACGGAGCATTTTAAAGTGCTGACGAGTACTAACCACGCTTCTCCCGTGGCAGACCATATGACCCTGACAGGCCACAGGATAAAATGGGATCACTTTGTCATTTTAGCCATCCGATGATCTGATGTGCATTGTAAAATTAAAGAAACATTATTGATTCGTGATTTGGAACCAGCACTTAATGAAAATGTTGGCAGTGATAAACTTGTTCTCTAGTAGCCATCTATATGTTTTTTTTTTGTTTTGTTTTGTTTTGTTTTGTTTTTTGTTTTTTTGCAGCAGATTTTAAGTCTGTTTATATCCTTTGTCATTTCTTTCCTTATTAGGTACGGGTCTTCCTTATTAGGTACTAGTCTTCTCGTTTAAATTTATTGTAATGCAGCTAACCGTTTTATACATCTGATGATGTATGTAGAAGCATACGAGACGTCAAGTTCTCAAATCAAGGTTCCTACAACATGCGTTGCTTTGTTATGTTTGTGATTCTAGCGGGTAACGAGCTACTTACTAGTGGTTTAACTGTCACAAAACGAATTTACATCTATGCTCTTTACGTAGGGTTAATCGCTTTGATTTTTAATAAAACAGGCTTCTGTTTCTACAAAATACTGTTGTATAATACCTTGCCTCACCTCTGGGCAGCCCTTTGCAAGCAAATGCCCCATAGTGGGGACCAACAACCTGCCAAATGCCCGTCAAACCCGGGTGGGGGNGTTTTCGGAACATTTCCAGTAAAGAAATAGTCTTCGACAATTATAATTACAACTGAGACCTCTTTAGAAGCTCTAAAGTGGGTTGTCGTTCTTCTTTCCTTTCCTCTACACATTGCTTATACAAAAGTGACTTTGTCTACCCCTAACAGTCATGGCTGACACGTTTGACTAGCTAAATAAGTGTGACTTAAACCCTTGTATACTACTTTTAATCGCATTGCTCAGTGTCTCTCTACGACATTGCTGAGCTCGCAAAAAAATTAAGCGATATCTGGCATTCCACACTCAATTTCAAGCAACCACTCGCTAATACTAGACATACTAGTCAAGCACTGTTTCACTAACACTAGTTACAGCTTGTTCATACGCCGACCAAAGTGGTATTTACAGTTTGGTATCCAGGAGGGAACGCTTTGAAGTCGCTTTGCTTCTAGTGCCGGTACACACAGAAGTTTTTTCCCGCTGTACGGCAGCATCGGATCATTTTGGCGAAGGCTTCTTTCATCTTTTCGTTCAGACCAATGTACAGCCACGGATTTATGGCGCTGTTACCCTGACTGAGCCAGTAGCAGAAGTAAATGAGGGAGGGCGGCCATAATACTCCCATTTTTACGTAATGGCCCATCTGATACACATGCATTGGAAGCCAACAGACTGCAAACACCACCACAACGATGAGCATTCGGATGACTTTTTTCTTGGGGATTTCCTGTTGTCGTTGGTGTACAGCACAGGTACTTCATCATCCGCAGGTATTTCGTGGAGCCACAGTTTTCCAGCAACTATGATGTAGAGGATGAAGATGATGGCTAGAGGCAGGTAGTCGATAACAAGGATGAGACTCCAAAAGGCCAGAGGCGATATAACAGTATCATCAAAGAAGCAGACACCATTCACAGGTTTCAAGGCAACTGGCACGACTGACATTAAGGCTATGGATGAGATCCAGACAACTAGCGTAATGATCTTAGGCTTCCTGAACCAAATGCTACTTCGAAAAGGATACACAACAGCAAAGAATCGATCAAATGCCATCACAGCGAGACAGAAAATGGAAGCGGTAGTCAACACGAACGCAGAGTAAGAGAAAAACGCGCGGGGTATCTGAACTTGGTGGTTTTAAAAAATAGCTATGCTGATAGGCATCTGAAACATTGCAACCAGCAAA